GAAGATGCAGGTACAGTCAGACACAGGTGATCGTAGGATTCTCGATTTATCGGTTACCTGTGCCTCAACGTGGCACATGGCCGACTGGCACTCAGCCGTAGACTTCTGCATATATACAGAGGTCTATGACTCAGCATAATGGCAGCTCAAGCTGGTGCTCCATCCACCGACCCGGGCCGGTGTCATATAGAGTGGGCAGGCTGTGCCGCTTAACATCCAAGTCAAGCGGCGCAGTCTACCGGTACCAGGCGGCTGCTGCCAGTGCTGAGGCATAGGTAGCCGGTGGATATGAAGGATAGTTTATTGATAAGCGAATAACTATTCAAGAGAGCTCATCACTGAAGCGCCTGTGCTAATTGTAAAACATCCATTGCACTAACTAGATCACATTCTTTGTAACAAATTGTACTTTGGCTTCAAGCCTCGGTATGTAGAATCGTTTCCTTTATATCATTGTTCGATGTCCAACAGAAGTGTCGGCCGGCGGGCGGTCCGTGCAGCCTCTGGCGAGACATTGCACGTGCCTCGCGCCGCTCAGAGTGGCAGTGGGGTTACCCAATAGAGACGGGCGCGGCGGCGGGCGGCAGGGCTGCCGGCCTGTTGGACCGGCCGACCCCAGCCCCCGCCCAGCGGCCGGCGCGCTGCCAGTACTGGCCTTGTACTGAAGATGTCCACCGGACCTATATAAGCTTGGGCCCGGCTGGAGGCCGGCTCTGGCCAACATGGAGCTCGTCGTACTGTGGACCGTTTTGGTGGCTGGTGAGTGGGAAGGGAGAGGGCTGGAGTTAGGAGGACGGGGTGGTGACCCCACTTCAGGTCAACTAATGCCAAGGCTTGTCATTGTGCATTCACTGTGCTCTGATGGTACCTGTCCCTTCACTGCCAATAAAACTTTGGGTTCAATTAGCAATTAATTCAATGAGTGCAAATTCCACATAATTGGTCATAATGAAGATGTGTTGGTATGCAATGGGCTTGCGTATTACAATTAATCCGTCGTTAACCTTTAGAGCTAATTAACGAATGTAAGACAAGTTTCTTTTTAGGGGCTTTGACGACATGTCGTTTAGGTTAAATTGTTGTGCAACCTATGGGCGTCTGTGAACCACATGTGTATCTATCAACTAACTCTAGTAAAAATATCAGCTTTATTATCACGAGATCCAATATAAAACTTAGCTGATATTTTCTCGTTTATATAATTGGAGAGTCATGTATTGGAAAAAAATGCCATATTATGATAGATATTATGCTTTTATCCGTGCTTATCGCCAATATTTTTAAACGCATATGATCAATCATGCGCCCGGCTGTCATTACTTCATTGTTTTTGGGCATTTAAATCACATTTTAGTTAATGGTAAATTTGTTTTGGTTTGCCTGACGGTTTTACAATTATGATAGCCAGCAAATATGTTTTGAAAGCTTAAAAATAAGTTTTAGTAATCAGAAGATGGTGGAATATATAAATGAATTGGCCACTCTGACAGAATTTAAAACCACTATGAGATACTACATTACATGTATGTCTACATGTATACTACATGTATTCCGGCGTGGAATGATATCACTTGCTAGGTAACATTCCGCTACGTTTGCTATGAGTGTTTGCGCGAATGGTCGCATAGGTTTGTTCAGTTTTTATCGAAGTGTCTGGCTAAAATCTCAAGATGGCTGATAAGTCGGCTGATAATCCCTTCTCGTCAGCTGACGGTGGGGCAGATGCCGCCTCCGGCGCTGACCTGTTGTTTGGAGGCGCGGCGCATTCGTCCTCTGGCAGTGACGCCGGCTCGCCTAAGCGGCTTTGCTTTCTCGGGATCGTGTCAGTGGTGAAAGGAGAGGCCGCCAAGGTCGGGGTGGTGATCGGGGCACCGCTGGGAGGCGATTGGCACGGCCGGGCGTTGCCCAACGGCCAGCCGGACCGGTAACCGCCGGTAACCGGACGGCGGCGGCTAGCACCGGCCGTCTCGCCTCTCCGGTGAACTGGTGACCGGCCGCCCCGCGCCGGTGACCTCTCCACCCCGCGCCGGTGACCTCTGCTGCCACCGACTCCTTTCGAAACGGCCAATCCGGGGACGCTCCGCTGATAGGCCTGCCAATCTCTTACTGGCTCCTGATGTTTTTTTTTTTTTGCTTTCTATTTGACATTTTTCACATTTTTATTTTCATCGCACTGGCATAAATAACTCATGGACCGAATACAAATGCATCGTACTAGTTCTCACGCATACCGCGCATGGCTAAACATTGCTTTGCAAGTGGAATGGTTACACTGCGTTCCAAAATTCAGGGAGCCAATGTAAGGCCATTTATATTGAAATAATGCCATCATTTGTCACTTCCATAAACATATGCAACATCTCCAGTCAATGATAAAATAGATCATTTTTCACACTTTGCACTTTCCACACTTTTCTAAAAAAAAAAAAAGTTAACGGCTGCAACGTAAGGACATCGTTATCGAAACTATGCCATTATTTGTCACTTGCATAAAACATATACAACATATCAGTCAATGCTAAAACAAATCATTTTTCACACTTTCCACTATCCATGCTTTTCTAAAAAAAAAACTTTTGTTAAAACGCAATACTCAACTCCTCTTGGTGCCGAGGCTGACCTGTGACTCTGTCTGACCTCGCCGACCCTCTGGCTTTCAGCGTCCGTGGGCGCCCAGGAGGTGCCTGTGAACGCCCAGGAGTTCGCGTTCGAGTGCCCTCCGGACGAAACCACCGGCAAGTTCCCCGACCCGTACCAGTGCGACCTGTACTGGGAGTGCTTCCGCGGAGAGGCCAAGCTGATGAAATGCGCCGACGGGCTGGCCTTCGACCCGGAGCGGGTGCGCACGCAGCGCGAGCCGTGTGACTACCTGTTCAACGTCAACTGCACCGGCCGCGAGGAGCTGCAGGAGCCGAAGCCGACCGAGCACTGCCCGCGCGCCAACGGCCTCTTCCCGCACGAGACCGACTGCGGCAAGTACTACTCGTGCAAGGACTCGGTGGCCCAGGAGCGGCTCTGCTCGCCCGGCCTGCACTTCTCGCTGAAGACGAAGACGTGCGACTGGGAGGCCGCTGCCGGCCGCGGCAGCTGCGACACGCTGCAGTCGATCGGTGACTTCACCTGCGACCCCAGCGTCGACTACTTCACGCCCGACAACCAGAAGATCGTCCATCCGACCTTCCCCAACCTCGAGGACTGCGCGCTCTTCTACGTGTGCAAGAACGGCGTGGTCCCGGCCATCTCCAAGTGCAACTACGGCCTGGTCTACAATACGGTCACGGCCGGCTGCGACGACCCCGTCAACGTCCCCGAGTGGTGAGTTAGCGACTGTTTTCAGACATTTTCATTGAGGTGCGCGCACCTTAGTCACAGATCTCACCAAATTGTTCATCAGCTTCCCCTTTCATGCAATTTGCATGCTCCGTTTTAATCAAATAATAAGCAACATTCATGTCAAAGGATCAACAAATGAAGCAGGCTTTAGTATCTCGTTTCTCTAAATGTGTACCTTCATCTTCTAACGCTGTTCCTCTCTTTGCAGTGCGACATACTACGACACTGTTGAAGAGACCCCCGTCGCTGAGGCTGTGTAACGGGGCAGACCCGGCAGCCATCCATCCGTAAAGAGACGGAGTTAGTCACAGTGGCGTCCTCCAGCCAGCGTTCACACGGTCTCCAGCCAGCGACAGCATATGCTCCAGCCAGCGTCAGCAAATCCTGGTGCCAGTCATCGCACGGGCCCTCTCACATCCCGAGGAAAACAATTTGAAACTGAGGGAGGCTGAATAAGCTGTAAATGGTTCTCGTGCTCTCTGAAAATTTATCACTGTATTAAAAGTCACACTTTGTCATTCACAGAACATTTGTCGATATGTGAAACAGGTTGTGATGTAACTCGAAGAGTTCATTTAAAGATTTTCATAGAAGAAACATTCCACACCAGTTTCGAATCTTTGTGATACATTCCATGAATTCCCCCGAAAATCATGCACGGAGTGGAGAGCGCTAAGTACAATGTTAATAATGTTTCGTAAAATGTGATGCGTCGTCAGCTCATCATATATCATATGCTCACATGAGATTTCACCTTCTGTGATATGTGCCTTCGCTTGAGTTGGATGTTCCTCCCGTCGCATTATGTTGTTATGACGTAATAAACAAATTGTTACCTCATCAAGTCTTTTGCGTTTAGCATATACGAATTGCTTGGATCATTATGCAACAAAACGTATTTTTTTAGATAAGAAGTAATGTGGAAAAAGACATCGGACATTTTATTTCAAGACTTTTCATCATGCAAACACAACAGTCCACAAACACAACATTTCACGATACAGTCCAAGGTTCGATGGATTCACAAACTCAACTTTGTTTGACAAACCTAAGAAGCAGCCAAAGCGCAGCAGCCATTGATGGACGATGCATGTGCCTTTCTATTGCCTAGAATCTAGATTGTCTACGATATATCCTAGGACACTTCTTCAGAGCTTTTCAGACCTATTTTCTCCGAACCATACATTTGCAGTGATCAAATCAGGTGCAAAGGCGTTTTATCTTCGTTCTTTCTGAGGTTTGTCAGGCTATAGTTATTTGTCACTAGCTGGGAATTTAGTATTTATATTTCCCTTCAATGAGTCATGTGTTGCAGTAAATCAATAGACTCCATTATTCCGAACAAAGCTGAAAAACAGGCTGGCACATTTCCTACACAAAGGAATTAATAGCAGGCTCGCTGGGTGGCCAAGGAAGTGAAACAGATGTTAAGAACATATGCGGGTTCTTATTCAATAGACGGGTACACGAGATTATGTTGCATATAATTTATTTCAGCACCTTATTCTGAGTTCATTAGTGCTTTTCAGATTTTCTGAATCAGTTTAAAAGGGAGGTATTGTCGAATTTCGAAATCACCGTCTAAATAACCGCAGTAAGTAAATTGAATAAATATTACTGATGATAAAGCCTCAGTGACGATCTAACTATAGTACTATAGCCTCAGTGACGTCGCATGTGGCGTAACGGAAGGTCAAAACGCAAAAAAAATCAGGCATCACAAGTAAGGTATAGAATCACGTGTTTAAAGGGACTATCCCACCATTAACATGGGGTTTGAGTTGAGATAGCCAAGTTTGCGGCGAGGTTCAGAAACCACTATCTATCTAGGTTGCAACCCCCGCGGCCTCTTGGTGTTGAAGAAATTCGTTCCCTTCATTTGAAAATGGGCCTTGTACAAGGCCCTATCTTCAACATGGAGCGACCGTTAGTGTGACGTCACCTCGTTTAGTCATTCTGATTTAAATGGGTTTGTTCGTTGAAAAATCGCTTAAAACTTGGTCTGAACTTTGTTGTGGTGCCTACAGAGTAAAAAGAATCAGCTTTATGACAGTAATGTGGCCTGGGGAAGGAGGTAATTTTGGGCTGTGACGTCACATATTTGAAAGTTTGTGTTTGGGATATGGGAAGCCTAAGATGTTTAATGAAAAATAAATGCCAGAACCGTGTTCCTGGTCATCCAATCTATAAAGTCGGGCACAATTTAACTGGTTTTAACAACATTTTAGAAGGTGGGATAGTCCCTTTAAGTGGTTGAGATGAGATTTGATGATTGCAGTGCTAATTACGCCGCTTCCATAATTCTCTGTACTTAGTTCATGATGGTAAGGTAAGGTCACGCGACCCGCTCGGCGTCAAAATACACTTCAGCTTATTTGCTTTATGAAATGTTTTCTGCTTACAAAAGGAAAAGAGAAAGCCCTCAAGGAGCTGTAAATTTTGCGACAATAGGCTAGCTGAGTACCTCAGCTGTATGAGAGAACAAGTGCAATGACCAAACACGCTGTAGAGAGCATTACCATAACTAACGGCACATTGGGAAAGCATGCCTGGTCGGTCGGTGCGGCAGTGGCAGGTCAGGCGGCGCTGACGGCTGGCGGTCGGGCAGGGTTCGGTACAGACTAGCGCCGGTGCTGGCCGGTAGCCTCTGGCGGTCACGCAAGAGGCGCGCTGGCATGGACTGAGGCACGCCGGCCGGTCAGGACTAGGCCCGGGGCGGTGGCGGCGGTGACGGCCGTGGCGGCGGTGGTGGCGGTGGCGATACGGCGCCCGCCCGCCCGTCCAGTCCACCGGCTTCGCCAGAAGATATAAAAGTGGGACGCGCCCGAGTGGCCGGCGCCACACCGAGCCGCCAGTCAAGATGTGGTGCTCTCAGACTCTCGTCGTTCTTCTCGCCGCTGGTGAGTGCTGGGACGTTCGCGTCATTACTGGGACGCTCGCGCCATGATCAGATGTTCACGTGACGTATTTTATCGTACCTTTATTGATGTTATCTGAGAGAGTTATGTTTATAGTGGTAAAAAAGTAATCCGGAAGTAACCATGCTTCCTCTTTTACTCGATTATAGATATCTTTGTTATTCTATGCAAAAGCAACATTTACTTTTTAGCCCATCCCTGTTGGGGGCTTCAGGCAACCGCTCCATGTATTTGGCCAGGCCTGAGCATTTCGAAATCTATTAAAAAAAAAAACTAGAAAGGCGCAGAAGAAGCAATAGATAGCTAGCTGTAAGGTCGCCTTTTAACAATAATGGTCATTTTTAATCAGGTCATTGCTGAGGCCATTGGATATCACCATATGTAAAATTATCACGAAATTTTCCACTTTTGGACAATTTTGTACACATTGGCGTACAAAAGTATGTTGACGAACTAGCCTTGTGTGTATTTATTTCGCAATAAAAAGCAAAATTGAGCAGAAAAAATTAATGAGAAGGAAAGAAAGAGAGAGAGTGGGAGAGAGAGTGAGAGAGAAAGAGAGAGGCGGAGAGAGAGAAAGAGAGAGAGAGGGAGGGAGAGAGAGAGAGAGAGAGAGAGAGAGAGAGAGAGAGAGAGAGAGAGAGAGAGAGAGAGAGAGAGAGAGAGGGGAGAGAGGAGGTCAATACGCAACTGTCAATTTTTGGCCGATATATTTTGAATGTACATATTCATATCATGGATTAAAGGGACCATCCCACCTTAACATTAGTTTTGAGTTGAGATAGCCAAGTTTGCGGCCAGGCTCAGAAACCATCATTTATCATGGTCGCAACCCCCGCAGCTTTATGGTGTTCAAGAAATTTCTTCCCTTTACTTGCAGGGTGGGACCAGCGTGGTCCCTATCTCTTAACCATTACGGGAATCTGATGACGTCATCAGGCTTTCGAACGTCCGTTAAATGTTTGACTAAAACGTTTTGTAGCACGCGGTGGTATATGCTGCTTTGCGCGCAACAAATGCCGCACTTTCAAATAAAGTCGCTAGGAACAGCGGAGATCCCAAAAAGTAAACAAAAGTAAAAGTCTAATATCTTGAAAACCGGTGAATATTTTTCGATGAAATTTGGTAGATATTCGTTTTTGCTCTTTCTGAACCGAGCGACATCACTTTCATGCCAATTCATTAACTTTTTTGAAGGTGGGAGGGTCCCTTTAACGTACTAACAAAAAATGGATGAGCCGTTCGCTATTTTTTCCCGTAAATCCTCGTACTGTTCGTCAGTTTGAATTTTCGGTCAGTTAGATACCCTGAGGGTATGAAACTTGTACTTTGATTTTCAGGTCAGGGTCAGGTCATCACAGGTCACGGAAATCTTATATCATGCATCGGTCACGTGGCACATGTTTTATGGTCCATTTAGGCCATAGATTTCGAATTCGCTGTCGTTTAGGTCATTCGAGGTCATTTTGAGTTGAATTTAGCTTAGGTCAGGCCACTTTCAGGTCAAAAAAGATCAAATTTTCAAGCTGAAATCTTCAACAAAAAAGGTGTCTAACGGACGCAGTTTGAGCTCAGGAACACGATGGTGCTATTTATATTGGCGTACAATGTCAAATACGTACTGAAAAATTGATTTGAAAAATCTATAATTGTGAATTTTTTGCTATAATGCGTATAACTTGGCCATTTTTGAAGATATCTGGTTAAAACTTGCAGAGTTGGTCATAAACATACGTTATATCACATTTATTCGTTTTTTTTCGAAAAGTCAAAAACTTTTTGAAGAAGATAGAAATATAAATTTTGAATTTTAGTATATATAATTTTTCAAATTTTCAAAACTTTGAAAATCCAAGATTGCAGATTGATAGCGCAGTCGATTCTGAGTGTCATGCAAAGAACTTGGATCTATTTACTAGCTTAAAAACTGAGCTCTTGGGAGCGATTGCCGTGGTTCAGTGTTTTGCGTCGAAATTGGACGAACATGACGTCACTCTGACGTCATTTCCGGCCGACCTATAGTAGCTACAAACTTCATATTTTGACACAAGGTGTCAAAATAATGCAGCCGAAGGTACCGAAAGTTTGGTGTTGATACATCAAGCGGTTTGGAAGTTAGTGCAGAAAAACGGGAGGGGGGCTATTAATAGCCCCCTCCCCCCAGTGGCGCGCGGGCTAATATAATAGTTGATTACAAATGGTCATTATGGGTGAGTTTGAGTGATTCGAAAGGTCCAGTAACCGGTATTCCATCATTTTCTAAAGAAAGTGGAATACTAACCACTTCCATTCACTTTAGGCTGAAGAGCATGATTCAAATTAGCAAAAAATGGTTGCAGTCTGCGTATTGCTTTTTATGAAGTGGAAGCATGCATCTCGGTGCTAAACTTTTACTCTGAGCATGCATTCGTTTCAAGCATTACTTAATAGGCATTGCGAAATGATTCATCTCAGAAATGGTTGACATTCCTGATCTCTGAATAACTCGGCCTGGGACCACGGGACGCTTGTTGCTTCACCCTTTCTCACGTTGCAGCGACGTGCAAACATGTGACTCAACTTTGCTTTCCCAGGAGCTGTGGTCGCCCAGGAGGCCGCCCAGGCGCCGGAATTCATATGTCCTGAGAACGAGATCACCGGCAAATTCGCCGACCCCTACTGGTGTGATCGCTACTGGGACTGCTTCAAGGGCGAGGCGACTCCTGTGGATTGTGACGATGGTACGGCGTTCGACCCGCGCCGCATCACGCAGGCCAACCCGTGCGACTACATCTACAAGGTCAACTGTACGGGCCGCGAGGCGCTGGGTGACCCTCTCGGCACCGGCGTCTGCGAGCGCATGAACGGCGTCTACGCACACGAGGACCCCAACGTCTGTGACAAGTACTACACGTGTGAGAACAACAAGCCAACGCTGCTGGCCTGCGCGCCCGGCCTGCACTTCAACCCGGTCAACCGGCTCTGCGACTGGCCCACCGCGGCCAAGCGCGGCGCCTGTGACGCGCGCACCTCCCTGGACGGCTTCACGTGCGACGACAAGGAGTATTTCACGCCCAGCGGCCAGAAGATCGCCCACCCGACCTTCCCGCACCCGGAGGACTGCACCAAGTTCTACGTCTGCAAGGGAGGCCGCGTGCCGGCCCTCTCCGGCTGCGACGAAGGACTGGTCTACAACACTCAGACCAGTAACTGCGACGTGATTGAAAACGTGCCCGAGTGGTGAGTATTCGCCGTTCTTTAACCCTCGCACGACCAGGCCATTTCTCATAACACGAACGACCAGGGGGGGGGGGGGGTTGTTACGACCCCCCCTGGCGTTTCGAAACGGAAGGTCGTAGAGCTTAGCGGAAAAAACCAACGGATTGCTCTCAACGAGATCTCGCGATTGGTGGTATATTTTTTGGTCCTAGGTCAACATTTGACCTACTTATGACCGGTCAAAGGTCAAATTTTCCGAAAAAAAATCAAACTTTTTCAACTTTCCGCGGCGATTGCGGCAAAACGGTGGGAGATATCGACTTGAAACCTTCACTATCGTGTTCCTTGATCAATTTTCTATCGTTTGGTATGTATTTCGTTTCCCTAGCTCTAAAAATGGCGCGTTGGGAGCGCCGGAAGTCGGCAAGGTCACAGTCGGCGGCAGAAATTCGAAAAATCAAAATTTAAATTTTTGAAATCTGATTGTATTTTTGGATTTGGGAGGTCCATTTGCTCCCTATAGAAGCTAATATTGCTGCATATTCCCATTGAGGTGACAAGAATTAGCAAAATAGTGGTTCGGGCGCTTTTCAAAAATAGTACCGGACGCTGTTCCTCTTGCGACGTCATAGCTCCGTGACCTGACCTGACCCGGTCAATTTTCTTGCACCACACGATAGCCAATGCTTGCCCCAACATGCATGGGAAGTTTCATCATGATCCATCAAACAATGTGGGTATCACCGGCAGAAAACCTAGGGATTCGGCGCACACGTTTGGTAACTGTCGGCCGGAGGCTGTACCTCTTATGACGTCATAACTCCGTGACCTGACATGACCCGATCAATTTTTTTTCGGCAAAAGATGCGCAAAGGTTGCCCCAGAGGGTATTGAAAATTTCAGCCCGCTACGACAAGCCGTTTAGCGTGCACTTCGAAAAAACCTCGGGGGGGGGGGGGTTGATACAACCCCCCCCCCCCCCCTAGGCGTTCTAGGGCTAAACAACATCTCCGCCTCACATCTACTGAACTTTTTAAGTTAGATCAGACCACTGACCCATATGCCATAACTTCATCCCCGCACGGTAAATATATGTCGTTAAGTTGCGACACTCTTAGTGGAAAGGGACCTGTTGTTGGAAATTAAAGTTTTAAGAAGCATAGAGAACTCTCAATTTCAGTCAATTTTTCTATCTATGACTTTCCACACGGTCACACTAGGCCAGGCTTGTCACGTAATCCCCCAATTATCGCTAAATTTAACGGAGGAAAGGCAAAAACTGCCTATCAAGCTTCGAATGCCACCATATCCTCCGTGTGGCCTAGTGGATAAGGCGTCCGTCTCGCAACTCGGTGACAGAGAGATCGCGGCCGGAGATCTCCGCGCCGTTTGACCCGCGTTTCTAAATTCAGTCACTTGGCAACTAGTGAGAGGGGCACGCTAGACCCGGTCGCCATCTATCGGCGGTACGTTCAACTTTCGATTAAAGCTATAACCAGTAAACTGCGGGCGCAGGCAAGGTCGGGGTCCCTCGTGTCATTCGCAATAAGCACCGCTTAGCGAGGCACCCGAGCCCACAGCCACCCATTCATCCGTTAAAAGCACACAATTTTTGAATTGAAAATGCGCCAGTGAGGTCATTTGAGGTCATCGGAGTTTTGTTAATAACTCTCGAGCCAACCGAGTAAGCATGTAAAAAAAGCCAACCAGAGGCCAGTTTTACCAGTCTGCCGGATAAATAGCCAATAATCGGCTGCCTGATTTTTTTCCTAAAGACCGCTTCACATACGGAGCGTAAACGGTAAAGCCCTATCCGCTCACATGCCCATCGCATTTACGCTTCGTATGTGAAGCGGTCATTAGGTTAACAATTCCGGCAGGCGGCTACTTTTTCTTTTGGTAAAACTGGCCTCTGAACTCGGAATGAACTGCAATTAAGTAATAATAATAATAATGCATACCTCCATCAGTTTAGCCAGTTTGGCATGCATCAAATACGTAGGAGCATATAAAAAGTAGGATGGAAAGGTGGTAACGCGTGTATTTTGGCATTTTTTATATCATGCTTAGGTGAAGACGTCGTCATAGTCCGTTATGATGTGTCGCTATGCCTTTTTACGAGTATATCTGAAGTTGAAACATTTTTATTGCTAAATCCAACATGTATAGGTATCCGGAATAGATATGCTTTGAAGCTCATTGAACTTGCTGAAAAGGATAATGAGTTATGGACCTACCTACTTTCTCCTGACCAGGCCCTACCCTGTTTTTCAGCGACCCCAACTACACCGACTACGCTTACGAAGATTACCCAGCGGACGCCGCCGACCCGGCTGCAAACGTCTGAAAAGGTGCAGGCAATAGCGTCATACAGCAGATAGCATAATCTTCGAGGTTTCTTATAAATATTTGGCCGTTTTCCTGATTATTCAATTATTAACTGATCAATTGTATCGAATTATATTGCATCGCATAGCTAAAAATAGATCGAAACATTTGTCATTCACCATTGAAAATAAGTGTCCGTCTTTGTACTTTTCTTTTATTAACCCTCGCCGGCCGAGGGGGGGGGCGGGTGCCGCCCCCCCCATAGGGTTTTTTCGCGATAGCTCCGAACACGCTGGCGATAGAGAGCTGAAACTTGGCATACCTGACCTTTGATCCAAGCCGCATCTTTTGACACCAACCGCATTTTTGGGTCAGGTCAGGTCACTGACCTATGACGTCATAAGTGAACCTCTGCACGGTCTTCAGATGTCGCAACTTCGCAACGCCCTCACTGCCAGAGGAGATGTCACAGGGAAATGAAACTTGCAGGATCTAGTATCCATTATGAGTCCCACAACTTGTATATCTCGGATTTTTCCTAAAGGTCATATGAGGTCAGGTCATTTTCGTGACCTCACCATTATAAGTCAATGGGGAAAAATTCAAACTGCTATTCTGGCGCCGGGAACGATCTCCAACTATCTCAAGCACACAGAATCGTGATTTTATGCACTCCTTGCAAGGTTAGATGCGTCACTTTTGCAATGTTGACCTTGCGTGACGTCATTTATGACGTCATCAAGGTCATATTAGTTTTTCGTCAATAACTCTTGATCAAATTGAGCTAGCGAGTCGGGAAAGCCACCAATGGACTCAGGAAGACCTGCCGAATCGAATGATATGCGACATGACCTCTTTTGACCAGCTTCGTGACCTGGGGGTGCTGACCTGACCTTGACCTGAGGTCAACACCCCAAGTTGACCTGACCCGGACAAAAAGTATATCATTCGACGCGCCTGAGCGCGACGAACACGATGCTGCCAAAATCGGCGCTCTGCGGCCGTTTTTTGCGAAGTTATTCACCAAAAACTGAACCGTACCTTGGGGCACTTGACCTGACCTCAGAGGTCACCGGTTGACCTAGGACCTTAAAATCGGGTACCAATCTCTGCGTCTCGTAACGGCGCACACGCTCGTTTTTTCCGCGACGCGCTAGCTCCACCAGGGGCGAAACGGCGAGGGGGGGGGTCGTACCCGCCCCCCCCCCTCGGCCGGCGCGTATGTAGAAAACCAATAGGTCCGGCGAGGGTTAAATAGCGTCCGATTATTAGCCAGTGTTTGAATTCAAATCATTCATTCGTGTTGCATCATGAAAAAAGGCTTAAAATGATGCATCATGCCTCAACTAATTCTTATGGTTCCCGATCTTCGATGCTCTAAATAGCCTTATACCAGCGTATAGCGACATAACATGTTTGTCTATATTGCAGGCTGTCGCTCGACCTCCAGCTCGGACAGGCGGTCAGCCGCTCGCAGAACTGGCTCCGAAGGTGGTGTGAGGGCCGCGGGGCAGCTCTGACCGGCCGCCGACCTCGGCGCCACCAGCCACCGGCCCCGCGGCCCAGCCACTTCCTGCCTCCGTCGCGGTCAGCCGCCATTACCGCCCCGTTATGTCACCACGTGGCCCATCTCAGGCAGGGGCCTCTGGCGGCACAACTCTCAGTCAGACAGCGCCGCATGTGAAACGGCGCTCCTCACCAGTTTATTGTTGTATTTTGCAGTGTGTCCTATGATGTTTTGTGATGAATATACTATTTCATGTTGGACGGATTTTAGTTGACCTGTATAGCAATAGGTCATGTACCTAATGCAAGCATTTGACCTGACCTTAGTGGTCAGTGGTCACTGGGGTTTGAACCTTAATCCTTGACCCGGCCGGGCCCGGGGGGCATAAGCGTAACTTTATATCTCTTTGTGGGTGCTCAAGCACCCCCAATCCTGAGCTCAGCACCCCCTGTCTTCTTAAAGCACCCCCAGCCTCCTCAAAACATTCCCAGCTGACTCAAGGCCCTCAATAATCAGAATGTCCATCTCCTAGTACTGTAATGAGCCCAGTGAATCATGCAAATACTATGCTTACTCAATTCAGTGACTAAGAGAATATACATTGAATAAATCACCACAAATTAAGATGCATGATATTTGTGTTAACATTACATCTGATATTATCAGGGGCCCGGGAACGATTTTCAAGTTGGGGGGGGGGGCGAGCCTAAAATACCTGACATGATGCATATAAAACAGTGGCATAGCTAGGGGTGTAAGGGGACACGTTTCCCCTCCCCCATCGGGTTCAAAGGGACCCTTGGGTCCGAGAGGCCCTGCGGCGCCATTTGACCGCTGAGGGTTAACGATGGTCATATTTCTACTCAGAAGGGCCCCGTGGGGCTCTTTAGAGCACCTCATGGGCCCTAAATAACCACACTAAGGTCTCCATAAGGGCCCCACGCCGACTTCTGAGGGCCTCTTGCGGCTTTTAAGGACACCTCGGTGGTCTCCAAACTCCAAAGGCCCGTTAAGCCTGAAACAGACTCTTTCCGCAGTCAGGAAATCGCATGCGAGAGCCTATTCAAATACATGGAAGCACGCTCGCATCAATCGCACGCACCTCCCGCGAGCGATTGATGCGAGAGGAATTACAATGTTTTTGAATAGGCTCTCGCATGCGATTTCCTGAACGCGGAAAGAGTCTGCTTCAGCCTTTACTGGCCTCTGAGAGGTCTTACCGGCCAATGAGGGAAAGTTCTAGGGTCATTTCCCACCTGTGATGGTCCCACACTTATTTTTCTGCGGGCCCCATAACGGCAACAATGGGGCCCTCGTCGGTGCCTATGAGGGCCCACACCGGTGTCTCTGAGGGTTTCACACCCCCAACTCCGAGTGCCTACACCAGTGCCTATTAAAGCCCTATATCGGCGGCTCTGAGGACCCACCCAACACCTGCGCATCTAAAGGCCACCCACTGATGACTTGAGGGCCCCACAACGGTGACCCTGAGGGCCCCACCGGCGTCTGACAGTACCATGCCGGTCTCTTAGGACCCCGCAGGACTTCTTCTGCCGGCCTAATAAGGACCCCTTGCCGGTCACTGAGACCCCCTGCCGGCTTGTAGAGAGTTCGCGTCAGCAGCTCTAAAGGCCCCACACCCGTCTGTAACGGCTCTACACCAGCGTCTATGAGGGCCCGGAGCAACGCCTGTAAGGACCCTCATCGGCGCCTCTGAGAGAATCACACTAGCACCTCTGATCGCCCACACCGGCACCTGCATGGCGGCCCCACACCGGTGCCTCCCTTACCGGCGGCTCTGAGGGCCCTACGCCGGTGATTCTGAGGGTGCCACCGATAACTGAAGGCACCACACAAGCCCTTAGTGTAGCTGAGCTTTAATCCCATACCGGCCCTCCGAGGGCGCCACGTCAGTGCACTCATTGCCCCACACCCCTCCCTCACACCCGGAGCGGGTAAACTGTGTTATACCTATAGCAACGATTTTACCACCGTTGTACGTTATGTATTTCTCAAAGTTGACTCAAAATGGTCCAGTGCAAAATCTGGCCTGCCAAACTTATGGCCAAGGTCAGGCCCAAACACGTTTTGGGCAATCAGTCTCAGTCCATGACTCCATTCTTCGGCAACTACGGTGCAAGGCCGATACTGTAGAAACTTGCAATTTGTACCCTTGACCTGACCTTGACCTTGACCTCAAACTTTAAATTAAGTGTATGTTTTTAGTTATTCGTGATGAGATCTTTCGATTGGCGTTTGAATTTTCCAAATCGGACCAATAGTTCGGTAGATAACAGGGGGGTAAAATTTATCCCCCCAGCCCCGCGCGTTCGGCTGGAGAGTGGAGACCCCAGCCCCGCGCGGGTTAATGCATTGGGTGAGCCAAAATTGTTTTACAGTGGCGCTATTAAAACAAGCTCTCGAACCGATTTAACATCATTTCTTGCATGATGCCTGATGGCTACAGTAAAAAAGAACAGCTAAAAAAACTACAAAAACTATGGAATGCCTTTCTGAAAGCTATTGAGCACCCCCAATGATTTTTGGAAAACTACACCCATGCCGGGGGGTAATCCCAACCACCACAGCCCGGGGGGGGGGCGTTCCCCCCGTCTAACTCCGTAAATAAGGGAGCTACGGAAACAAAAGCGATACCAAACAAAAGCTCCTAACGAGACAATTCTAAAGCACCTAATTTTTTTACCTCGGGTTAATTTGCAAGGTCAGAGGTCAAGGTCAAAGGCAAAACCGGCACATGTAAAGTGATCTCAAAGTAAGCGTTCGAGGACGGCATAAAATGCATAAAACCAGCAAAATTGGGTGTCAAACAAAAGTAGATAATCTGAGGATTCCTAAAATGTGCTCAAAACCAAAGGTCTAGGTCAAGGTCATGCTCAAAATTGACCTCAAAGTTTTCACTTTTTCGTACATTTTGTGTGCTAACGTCCAAGATGTTTTGAAATGTTTTGAGGCTTATCAGGTCCCTATTTGTGGTTCATCTAACGATACAAGGCTGCTCAAAGGTTAAGGTCACAGAAGAGTATCCTTGCTAGAGGCTATTTCACTGATTTAAGTTAGTAATAATAAATAAGACAATTTTGCCATCCGGAGGCTCTAAATGAAGGATTAGAGGAAAATAGATGCCAGATTCATGATCAGCGGGTACGAATCCATCATAAACGACCTTTCATGTATCAAGGTAAACCAAAGGTCATTCGAGGTCACATGAGGTCAACATAAAACTTGACCTTTTACAAACAAATATATATCATTCGACGCGGCTTGAAAAGGCGAATGCGATGGTGCTCTAGGGCCATTTTTGTCGAAGTTATTTGCGAAAAAAACTAGAACCACATTTCGGGGTCGTTGACCTGACCTCTGACCTCAGGTCATCAAAATATATGATCTATTTTTATCTAGGTCAAACGCTACACAACCGTGCTCGTAATTTGTCTTTGTCTCTAAAACTGTATTTTTAGCAGCTATTTGAAGTTCTCGTCTGTGGCGCCGAAGTTTGCCGTGCAGGGGTCTAGAAAAATCGACCCTATGACGTCATCAAGGGGGCTAGATCCAAATTTTTGACTTCAGAAGATGTCAAATTGATGGGAAAAAAGATACTGAAAGTTTCGCCTTCCTATCCCTAAGCGCTCGGGAGCTATCGCAAATATTCGCCAGGGGAGTGAAAAACGCTCCGCTCAATTAGAGGCCAAACGACGAAGGGCTCCTATCCCCATAGGAGTTCTAACCCTCTCGACCGGGTCGTATGTGGAAAACTGTTACTTCCGGGAATTTTCAGGACCTGCCTAAAATTGAATTGCTTATTGAATTGCTTAAGTAAATCGGTATTCGGTCCACAACTTTTCCTCCTGAGACTGTGCGGGCATCGGATGGTTCCGTCTTAAATTGCGCTGCTTGCCACTGCAAATGATCAAATTGCGTCAAAATCTCTGTGAAGACTTATAAATCTACAAGCAATCTTATGGTCAAATAAATTCAAAAAAAATCGGTCGGTAATATTTTTAGTTACGATGGTGTCAACACAAAGTTGTGACTGGAACGTTTCCCAAGTCAGCTGATCCCGCCTCAACCGGAAGACATCTTACTCCTATAGCAGAGCTCTTATTGCCATTTTACGATTGGATTAATTAACAAGAGATTCTCAATATATTTAAAAATGCATGCGCTGTCGTATAATGAAAGAATAAGAGAATCAGTTGTTAACTTTTTGAGTTATGAGCGTGTTAACGCAAAGAGTTCCTCATATGGCAAATTTGACCCCGTTTGACCTCATTTGACCTTGAATATATTGAGCTAGTCTCATGAAATGACCAAAAATAGAGTTCCCCACCACTCCCACTCACTTTCCAAATATCGTCTTTTTTAGCTCCCATGAAGCTGAGATCTTATGGTGATCAGCGGTGTCACATTCACTCCCCCTTTCCACTGGGCGTCGTGCTCTGAACCCTTCCACTGGCGTGTTAATGTTCACTCACTTACGAGCCTACAGCTTTTATCCAAGATCAGCGATTCATTTTGTCCTTTTGCGTTTCAGAAACGTAAAATGAGCGTTTCTGTGTGAACAGTGGCGGCGGAACACCTTCAATTAAGGGGGGGGGCTGCATTGCCGACTTTTGGTCCTATTCTTTCCATGCAACGCCCATAGGGCAATGTTAAAATGCCAAAATCAAAGGGGCACGGTACCCCGGTGCCCCCCCCGTTCCGCCGCCTATGTAATTATGTGTGTAAAGAAAATTCTTCCATAATTTTGAAAGGACTCATACAGCATTGATTTTAGTCACAAACATGATTCTTTCTATAAGACGCGTTTCTATGCAACCCTAGCTGATAAATATTAAGAACCACAATGAACCTAATTTGACCAAAACTGCACCAAATCTGCCCCCGAAAGGAGCCAAATGTGTACCAGGTAGCCGTCGCAAAAATGGCTGTTGGTGATCTTTCAGTGACCAACTACCTATATGACCTCAGAGATACTTTTTACGTAGAGACATGGCCGGGTGAGTTTGGTGAAGTGAAAACCTATATAAGTTAAGCTAACCAATGAATAAAGTAGAAGCCAAGTGTTTATAATAAATGTTGTAGTTTGGCAGTACAAACGAGGACCATTTTCATTTCACCTCATTCATGGCCTTATGATGGAAGGGTCACAAAATTGACCTGACATAAAAGGTTCACCAAGGGTGCAAAGTCCAAGACGTATGTTTGATGCATTCTGTTTCTCTTACCAATCATGCCGAAAGTTTATCAGCAAGCGTTCATTCGATATCCACGTAGCTATGACGATTGGCGAACATTTTAATTTTTTGGATGGTTCATTTGACCTGAATTAACCTGACCTTGAATAACCTGGCTCTTAGGTATAATTGCATATATTAGAGGGGAAAATCGCAGAAGGTAAAAAAAGGCAGAGCGAGATATTTGTGAAAAGCCCTAATGGAGACGTAAAGACGCGTTCCCTTGCCACGGCGTGTGATACCATAATGCAATGCAATACACACAATACAATGTGTCGTCATTAGTTGTTTTCAGTTAATGTGTGTAATTCAACTTTGGCTTGCTGGCAGTTAGAAGCTTTGTGGACAATCTGAAGCGGCTCTCGATGAGTCAGGATTCTTGACTTGGAAGGTTTTGTTATATACCACTGAATTTTGTAGTTATCTATTATTATCATTATCCATGCTGGTTGTTCGTTTCCATGCGCCTACATACCAACGTGTCGTCTCAAAGAACAATATACCACGTAACGTTTATTTATAAACTGTGACATAATCGATGATATCACTCTTTGTACATCAATGTAACACTTCTAACAGGTGAACATGCACTTTCTTGATGCTGTCGACCATGCCCCCCTCAGCAGTGGCGCCAATATCACCGGGTGGCGCGATCACAGCGGTTCGTAGTAGTTCTCACTGGAACAGAAACAGTTCAGTCAGTCTATGCTCAACTCGATATTAATTAAAAATACGACAGATAACTGTCTGCAATAAGTGACGGTGAGATGACATTTTGCAACGCGGCTTATTTCTCCTGTGCAGCTGGTTCTTTTAGAAACAATCACCAGTCTCAGTTGCGCAATCAGCAGGTGGGAGCAAATGAAGTAGATTGTATACCGGTTTGCTGCGCACTCTTCAACCTTTCCAAGGTGACAAGACAACGGGACTCATGCACTTTGTAAAAATCTAGTGATAGTGCAAATCTGGGCTGGAAATCGGCGTTTGCGCAAATGATCTTGAGATTCACGATATGAAAGGAATGAGTCAGCAAAAGAGAAGGCTCGAAGGTGACTCAACCTTCATCTGCACTGAGTCTGTCGAAATCACCAAGCAATAATGTGTGCACTTGCTTACTAAGTACCCACTGAGCACTGTTAACCCATGTAGAGCTGCCATTCAGGTGATGAGTCCGCCCTTTGCTCCCCCGGTCACGCGGCGGGATCGGCCACTGAGATGCTGAGTCCCCCAGACCCTGCGGCGGGAGCGGCCACTGGGGTGATGGGTTCCCACTTCCCAGGCCCCGCGTTGGGGGCGTCCACTCACCATCCGGGCACGTTGGCGGGGTCGTCGCACTGGGCGGTGGCGTCGTTGAAGACGGTGCTGTCAGGACAGCCGCGCAGCTCCGGGTTGATGCCGTTCAGGCACACGTAGAAGAACCGGCAGTCGGTCGGGTGGAAGTAGGTCGGGTTGATGGCGCGGTTGCCCAGCGCGTCCAGCGCGTTGGCGGCGTCCGGTGGACAGGTGAAGTTGCCTTCCCCTGTTAACGGAGGAGAGGTCAAGTTAATGATAGATCGTCAGTCAGCTGTCTTCTTGAGCGACCAGCTATGAAAGGCATACATATTTTGGTTCCGAGAGGTTGATTCAAGTCGAAAATGTATGTTGCAAAAAAATAATTGATTTTTTACAGTAAAAAGAAAACGCATGATTGAATAATTACTCATAACTAATTTGAGAAGTATAGCAGAGCAAACACCAAACCACCATCCGGCAGCCAAGTGCTGCTCCTCCAGTTCGATACCCCTTCTTCTCCCAGGAGTGCTGGCCGGTCTTTCACTTACGGGCGGGGGTGTCGCACGGGCCGCGGTTGGCCACCTCTGGCCACACGCACTCCATCGAGTCCAGGGACAGGTGCAGGCCGGTGGCGCACTCGCTCTCCGTCGCCAGACCCTCCTTGCACGTGTAGAACTTGCCGCACTCGAACTCGTGCGGGAAAATGCCGTTCTGGCGCTGGCACACCGGGTCGGTGCCCGGAATGGGGTTCTCTGTAACATCGAGCGCGCGGTGTTCGGTCGGACGGCAGCCACGGATCGCGTGCACACATGCCATGCATTGTATTCAGCAGACATTGACTGGCACCATTCACGTCATGGGAGGCCGTTTTAGGGCTTATCCTTGATGGACACTGAGTGAACAAGAATTGGCAGAAAATGAATTGCTACTATTCATACTTGTATGGATGATATATCGGCTGCATTACTCATGTTCAACTGCTAAGATTGATAGCGGCAAAGTGTGTCATTTCGCGTTCAGATCGAGACCCGTTTGCCGTTCCACTTACGGAGCTGCTCGCGGCCGGTGCAGTTGACGGAGAAGGTGTAGTCACACGGGTAGATGGTGCCCCTCAGGCGCGGGTCGAAGGCGTGTCCGTCCTCGCACTCCATCGGCTTGGCCACGCCCTTCTCACAGCGCCAGAAGTAGTCGCAGTTGATGGCGTCTGGGAAGTCGCCGTACGACTCCGGGCACACGAATTCCTGGACGAAGCTGTCCTGGGCTGTCGACAAAGGATATGTTCGGTCAATGGTTAAAAACAAGTTAATGGATGTATGGAGTATTACATAACCTACCACGTGTTGCGAGTGAGGAAGGTTGCGATTTGGTGGTCGGATAATGTTAGCGTTGCAAAGGACAACGTTCTGCTTATGTGCTCGTCACAGCCGGATGTTAAATACGTTAGCTCAAATGGCGGCATTTGAAGCGCCAGCCAACGGTAGAGCGGATTTTTAGCAGGATATGCCTGCTGCTCGGGGTCTGATCTGCTGCAAACTCCATTTGCTACGGAGACTTTCCCGGTCTGAGGGGTCCCGTTGGAATGTTCCAGGCAGAGAACAATCGGCTCGGAACATCCCGCTCCATGGGCTCGCTGCTCAGACAGGCACATCGGAACGCAGCCCCTCCCCGGCCGTGCCGGTACGGATTTTCCCATGGCACGGTGTCATAAGCCGAGCTTATCTGGTGCAAAAATGCTCCTACAGAGAAGGCGAAAGGCTTCTTGACCGTCTGCAAGGCACAGGCCATCTCCGGTTCTTTCTGGTTTCGTGACGATTTGATCACCAACAAGTCATGCACAGAATAATATGACAAAAAGGTAGCACGTTTAGGAATCGTAGGTCGGGCGAACCGGATAAAATATACGTTGTTTGACTGTGGGATCTAGGTACGAAACATAGGTCACACTACTGAATTAAAGTATCTCCAGCAATTCTTCCGTCAAACTCGTCTGATGGTTCTAAGAAACCATTAAATAATAACAAGATGTGATCACAGTACTATGTGCCAACCAAGGTCGTCATCACCACGTGACCTTGTGTCTCACGCAGTACGAGGGTGGCACCTTTCCAAACAACTTTCATTTTCTGTCGGAGTGGCCGGGATAGCCCTACCGGCCTCGAAGTTCCCCTCGCGGCCCATGTCCTGACGGATCCTTTCTAACAGGGACGTCCCATCGGGACCTGAGGTCACCAAGTTGCGAACGAAGCCACCACCGTATTGGGCACACATGGATACTTAATTATACAAGCAATGGCTGCTCGATGCGTCATAAGCTCGAGTGAACAGGTGTTTGGGGAGGGATGGTTATGTAATATTATGGTAGCAGCGACTCATATTTACTTCAATTTCAGATTGAAGATTATATGATATAAATGATATAATTAAGACTATAATAAGAAATGGGAAACCTTTTGGCCTTTGTAAACATATGTTATCACATAATAAAGATCCATTTTTGACCGCTGTGAAAGTTAAATGAGAGTTCACCCTTCTACAACGGAACATTTTGCGCAAGGTAGGCATGTACCTACGAGAATAAAGTAACCAAATAAAAAGGTGTATAGCGAATCATTTTCAATGTTGTATGTAATGAATCTAAAATGTATGCAAACAATATCTATTTATCGCAAAAAGCACCCTGATTGTCTACAAATTGAAAGATGTGTGGAAAGGCAATACAATTTTGTTCTTTCCTTTTATCAATTAAGCCGCTCAAGAGCAGGAACATGGCTCCATTCCCTTTTTTCTGTGGTCGTTCCTATATCAAATATTTAGGCCAATAAGCATCAGAGATAGTTTATTCATTCTTCAAATTGGCAAGTCAACCTTATGCGCTACTGGAATGTAGCTACTGACGCATTAATGCGATTTTTTACCGTGGTAGGGGCAAAGTAGTGGTTTCAACGTTGCGAAGTTTCACTGAACTGTAGCCATTTATATACAAGCTGCTTAATTAGGACGTTTTGCTCTAAATAAAAGCAAGGAATGCATTGATCAGTAAAATAAAAACGGACGATAAAAGCATACAACTATCCAATTATTGAATCCAATTTTCCGGTTATTTACATATAGAATCCGATTATTAACAGAAAATCGAATAAACGTTTTGTATTGGAACTAAATTTAAATTACACATAAATATCCGGTAGGCATGGTGCTCACACCGGAATATGAGCAATTCCTGGAAGCGCGACATTCTCGGGAGGAAATTCCGCCGATCCGCGCCACCCATCCCTGCAGCCGGGCCGGCAGCCCACTCACCCCATGCCCCAGTGGCCAGAGCGAGTACGACGAGCAGCCTCATGGTGTGTGATGTGCCGAGTGTGTGCCGCGGGTTACGTCCACCGCGATCGTCGCACTGCCAGTGGTCGCCGCCGCTCCGACCGGCCGCCATTTATTTCCCGTGGAGCGGTGATGCTCGCTGCCCTGCCCTCTGCCCCCTGCTCCTCCCCCCTCTCCCAGCCCGTCCAGACCGGCGCGATGGCCGCTGGCGGCCGGACAGCGGACTGCTCGCACGCGCGTCGCACCGGCAGGGGCCGGGACAGGAGCGCAGACCGATTGAGATACGGTCCGAACTGGCTGGACCAGCGACACAGAGGACTGGGGGCAGTTGATTGGATCTTTGGACACGTGGGGCCCACCAGCTCACACCTAGCCAGCGGCACGGCCGCCAGCCGGTCGACCTTGAACCAGTCCTCGGCTCATGACAATCCTCTAATTGGGCTTGGTAAATGTCTGGCAATCGATCACTACCCTACTGAGGCCCCACTTTGATGGACGAGAGACATCTGCACTGTGGGGAGGATATGCTACTAGGGCTGCTTCAAACGTGTTTGTGAATAGCTGGTGTGTGAACGTGTAGGCTTTTAGGTATATTTCGAACATTGCATTGGATCGAAGGGGATTCCTGGTATTGGTAAGTATAAGATAATATATTCCTGCCCGGGGCCGGGATGATTCAATAAATGTCACCGAGGTTTTTTTTTAGCGAAAACTCCGAGGGCCGTTAGGCCCGAGGCAGGGGCGCAGCCAGGAATTTTTTTGGAGGGGGCTAGAATTGGCGAGGGCGCCAATTTTGGTTCAGGAGGGCACCAAGTTCGGGTCAGGAGGGCGCCAATTTCGGCTCAGGAGGACGCTATCAATGCCGAGCAAGGACGACAAAATGTACACTCGTTTTTCCCTGATATGGCCACGCGACCTTATTCCACTCAAACTATGGTTTATTCTAGGCATTCCAGATAAAAACCGCCTTTACATTTTACGTATTTCAAACGGAAGCGAGGCGCGGCAGTCTTGAAGGCAAACACAAACGGACTGCGAATGTCTGCATCACTGGTGTATTTTTCGATCCCATGGCTCAGTTCCTCCGTCCTTCGGCTCAAATTCAGGTCTCAAATTCTGGTGTCAAGCGTCGTCTGGCTTACGGCCGGCCCAAAAAGGACGATAGTGATAAGTGAATGAGTTGAATGAGAGTGAATAAGATGAGTGCATAGTTTGCCGGTCGGGCAGTGGCACTGACGTGCTCGATGGATGTTTGCCGAACTAGATGCAGTAAGCTTAAAATTAAGGCGCTGGAAACGTTGTCATGCCTTTATTTTCTGAAAATTGTTTTATTTCTAGTTGGCGCCTAAATCACTTTCAACATTGGTTCCCTAACGCTTTCTAATTGTAAATAGTTGTAAAAAAACTGGGTGTTTTACGTGCAAGTCTGATGATTGGTTGTTATCAGCTGTCGGGAATTTGCCAATGTTTGGTGCAAAATAAATATGAATGAATGAATAACATTTGTTATTACGCGAAGCCAAACTTAAGACAAGACTTTAAACAAAATGAGTTTAAACTGAACTTGGTTTGCTCTCAAGCTCACCTTCTCTCAAGCTCAAGCTTCTACGGCAATTCACAAAATATGACGGATCATGGAAAGCCATAATACACAACTAAACGCATTAAACAATGATCAGAACTTACCACGGTCAGTAACCAACATAGGTAACGTGAAGAGGGCCCTGACAGGTCCGGACTCCGGAGTGAATGGTAAGAAGAACGATAATTGGTGAGGAGGGCACTGTAATGTGAGGAGGGCGCCGGTCAGGATGGCGCTTTACGGTGAAAAGGGTCAGGAGGACGATGTATGGTAAGGAAAGCGCCAGCAGGTCAGGAGGGCGCCGTATGGTGAGGATGATGCTATACGAGTGAAGAGGGCGCTGACAAGTCAGGAGGGCACTGCTTAAAGAGGAGGGCGCGGACAGGTGAGGAAGGCGATGTATGTGTTACAGGGAGTTTGAGAAATCCGTGAGCTTGCAAACTCCCTAGTGAGTTTGCAAACTCCCTGACCCATCAGTGACTTTGCAAACTCACTAGGGAGTTTGCAAACTCACGGATTTCTCAAACTCCCTGTAACATATGTACGGTCAGGAGGCCGCCTACAGCTCAGAAGGGCCCTCTACGGTGAAAAGGGCGCCGACTTGTCAGGAGGGCGCTAAACGCAGAGGGCGCCGGTCTGGAGGGTGTTGCATGGTTAGGAGGCCGCTATACAGTGAGGAGTCCGGCGGCAGGTCAGGAGGGCGCTGTACGGTGAGGAGGGCGCTATAATACGATTCACAGACTTCACAGACTCGCGCTTCACAGACTCTATTTTTCTTTTCAACTGTTAAACAGTTGAGAGCTAAGTGTGGCCATGGTGAGCAGCTGCCTTTTTTGGAGAGAGGGTCGCTTAACACGACCTGATAATTGAACCTTAACCAGCGCGTTGCTGGGGAGAAGGAGCGTCAAACGCCCCCACCATTTTTGCCGCGATTTAAAATTCAGGTGTCTGTTGTAAATCAATACAAGCTTATTATGAAAAAATAATAATAATCGAGTCAAAGCCTTTTAATATTGAGGCCTCAATGACGTCATTACTTCTGAGTTTTCGACCAAATATGGCACATGTTTTAAATGACCATAACCATAAGAAATAAAAAAGATGCAGGTATGTATGTGCATTGTACATTAACCCGCGCCCCGCTGGGCTATTCAGCCATACGCGCCCTGCTGGGGGGGGGGGGCAGATTCTGCCCCCCCTGTCTAACTTCCGAACCGATGGTCGTAGAAAGACGGGGAAAACGGCAATCGAAAGCTCTCAACAAGGCGGATCTTAAGAGCCCATTTTTTTTGCTTAAGTAGGTCAGAGGTCAGGTCAAGGTCAGGTCAAGGGTACAAAATGCAAGTTTCTACAGTATCGGCCTTGCACCGTAGTTGCCGAAGAATGGACTGAGACTGATTGCCCAAAACGTGTTCTTAGACTACCAAGACAATATTCGTTGCACACAATGTCATTCAAAGGTCAAGGTCAAGGTCAGGTCAGGTCAGGTCAGGTCACCAAAAACAAAATATAGAAAAGGGCATGTGCGACACATGTTTTATGGGTCATTTTACTCATGGAATTCAATAGGCACACTCAATAAGTGATATGGACCACCTCTGGATGAATTTCAGGTCGAGGTCAGGTCAAGGTCAGGTCAAGTGAGGTCAAATTTTGAAGTTGGTTATTAAGGCCTAAAAAGGTGTCTATCCGATGCAGTTTTTCACGGCGAATCGAATGGTGCTATTTTTATTTCCGTACGAGGTCTAGAACCTCCAAAAATATCATTTTTCAAAATTTTGTGTGTCGTGACGTTATAAAATTTTGAATAACTCCCACATTTTTGAACCGATTCTTCTCAAAATTGGTATGTATGTGCACATAGACCACTTCTTTGACATATATTCCGGTTTTTTCGATAAACTCAAAATTTTGGATTTTATAAATATTTTCCCAAAAAAGTCAGTTTTTTGGAAAAATTTTGGCCAAAATCCAAAATTTTCAAAAAAACCGAGATAGCCATTTGATAGACAAAGTAGAATCACGTATAACCTTTTTGTTACGTCTTGATTCCTTTAAAAATGAAGAAGTTAGCGGCGTTTGAAATTTTGCCGTTTTTTAGGCGAAAATGACGAACATGACGTCACTAAAACGTCAATTTCTCAAAAAATTTCCGACGGATTTCGCTCAGATTTTCAGGGAACGTGTCAAATTGATGTATGCTAAGGTACTGAAAGTTTGACGTTGCTGGCGTAACGCGTTTAGAAGTTATTGGCGAAAAACGGGAGGGGGCAGATTCTGCCCCCCCCCCCCAGCGGGGCGCGGGTTAACCCGCGCACCGACGGGGGTCTGCGCCAACTTAACCCGCGACCGCCTGGGGGGGGGGGGGGGTCGGATCCGACCCCCCCCCCCTCCGTTTTTCTTGAGTAACTCAAGAACCGCTTACGCTATCAACTTGAAACTTGGCATACCTTCTCCCCCATCAATTTGACGTCTTCTGTGTAATTTTTAAGAAAAAATTTCCAATTTTTTTTTTAGATATTTCGATTTTAGTGATGTAACTACATGGCGTTTTTAGTCAAAAAGTGGTAAATGTTAAAAAAATTGCCAAAAATCAGGGTTTAAAGCAAATTGCAAATTAACCCTCGCACGACCAGGCCATTTCTCATAACACGAACGACCAGGGGGGTTGTTACGACCCCCCCCCCCCTGGCGTTTCGAAACGGAAGGTCGTAGAGCTTAGCGGAAAAAACCAACGGATTGCTCTCAACGAGTTCTCGCGATTGGTGGTATATTTTTTGGTCCTAGGTCAACATTTGACCTACTTTTGACCGGTCAAAGGTCAAATTTTCGGAAAAATAGACTTTTTTCAACTTTCGGCGGCGATTGCGGCAAAACGGTGGGAGATATCGACTTGAAACTTTCACTATCGTGTTCCGTGATCAATTCTCTATCGTTTGGTATGTATTTCGTTTCCCTAGCTCTAAAAATGGCGCGTTGGGAGCGCCGGAAGTCGGCAAGGTCACAGTCGGCGGCAGAAATTCGAAAAATCAAAATTTAAATTTTTGAAATCTGATTGTATTTTTGGATTTGGGAGGTCCATTTGCTCCCTATAGAAGCTAATATTGCTGCATATTCCCATTGAGGTGACAAGAATTAGCAAAATAGTGGTTCGGGCGCTTTTCAAAAATAGTACCGGACGCTGTTCCTCTTGTGACGTCATAGCTCCGTGACCTGACCTGACCCGGCCAAATTTCTTATACCATATGATAGCCAATACTTGTCCCAACATGCATGGGAAGTTTCATCACGATCCATCAACCGATGTCCGTACCACCGGCAGGAAACCTCGGGCGTTGGCACTCAGTTTGTGAAAATCCGGCCGGAGGCTGTACCTCTTATGACGTCATAACTCCGTGACCTGACATGACCCGATCAATTTTTTTCGGCAAAAGATGCGCAAAGGTTGCCCCAGAGGGTATTGAAAATTTCAGCCCGCTACGACAAGCCGTTTAGCGTGCACTTCGAAAAAACCTCAGGGGGGGGGTTGATACAACCCCCCCTAGGCGTTCTAGGGTTAAGGACATGAATAGACGCAGCTCAATGAGTTCTTTAAAATAGCCATCTCGGATTTTCCATAAAATGCGTTTTTCACCCCTAAAAATTCAAAAATCTACATTTTTTGGAAAACAACTGATAAAATCCAAAATTTTGAGAATTTCCAAAAAATCGGTATAAATGTTATAGAGCTCTATTAGAACATTAGATGTCCC